GGGGCGCCTGGGTGGCTCAGTTGTTAAGCGTCTGCCTTCGGCTCAGGTCATGGTCCCAGGGTCCTGGGATCGAGCCCCGCATTGGGCTCCCTGCTCTGCAGGAAGCCTGCTTCTCCCTCTGCCTCTTCCCTCTGCTTGTGCTCTCTTTCCCTCTCTCTCAAATAAATAAAATCTTAAAAAAAAAAAATCATAGTCTCACGCGACATCTTATTATATACCTTTTAGATCTACAGTCAAACTGAAGTACATCACATGAATGTGAAGATCATGAAGCTACTCAGTATTACCCAAACATGTCTCTACTAGTTTCAAAAACAAGGTATGGTAATTACTGATGGAGAAAGTTAGTTCCCAGAGTAAAAGAGATGGGTGGGAGAGAGATGAGCCCAAGACAATATAACCTTACCTACTTAAAGACATAAGGATGAAATGCTATAATCTTAAAAATATCTGAGTCTTACAAGAATTCCTCCTGAAACGTGCAAGAAACTTCAGCTGGTACACTTTATACTGTATGTAAAGTATATGTTCTTGACTGTAACGAGTGGCTTATCAGATTCCTTCTAAAAATACTCAAACTGTCATTGAAATAGAAACTATCACTCACAGAAATTAAGAGGAACAGGATTTTAAAGCCCTCGGTCCCCAGATGAAGAAGCTGAGACCCCAGAAGTAAGCAGCTTGGCCAAAGTCACATGGCAGCTAGCTGCGGAGCTGGGAGTTGTGACGATTAACTGGCGGTCACACAGCTTAAGTAGGTAAGCCAGAGGAAAGGTACTAGCCAGGGTGCCAAGTTTTTGTGTGTGGGAAGCTATGGGGAAATTGGAAGGTTCGAGGATTTTAGGGTGATCTGAGAGAGTGACTGCACACAATCCTATTTAGGTTCAGACCAATAGCTGCCACAGGTTCCTACCGAGTATCAGCCCCAACTTAGAGGGGCGGAGAAAAGCGAACAGAGAGATAGTCTCAAGCTTTTCCCATGAAATACATATTCTAGATCACTGGTTCCCTGATTGGCTACCCACCAGACCCCACTGGGGAGCTTACACACCCACACACGTGCATGCGCGCACACACACGCACACACACTCGCAGGCACAAGCGTGCACGCACACACATGCCCAGACCTGCTAAGTGAAATCCTCTAGGAATGGGGCCCCGCATGTGCATTCTTCTAACAAGCTTCCCAGGTGATTCTCACTCCGTAGCCAGCCCAGCATCAGTACAGACCTATCTATGTATGGGACCACTCTTCCAGATGGTAATACACAGAATGTTCTGGAAATAATTTAGTTCCACTTCTAAGCTTTTCTAAAGTCCTCCCTTTTGGAAGAAATTGTCATATAGCATACAAAATTTTCACTTTAACCAACGGGAAAAAATGTGAGCAAATTTCCTTAAGAAATAAA